TCACATGGGACACAAATATCTTCTCACTTGGAACATATTGAGAGAGGTCTGTCCACATGCCTCTCCTCCAGACTTCCTCAATAATTTTCGTATTGTTTCCAATTGTGTTCTTTTTAATTCTCTGGTAATCCAGCCAGCCAAATGATTAATTACTGCCCATTAATTACTATAGACCTGTAACTCTGGCCATCACTCCTTCTGGGAAAAATGAACAACGAGGCAGATGTTCTGCCCATTGGGAAGATTTTCTTCCATGACTTCCTTCAAGCAAGGCTCCTTCCAAGTGAGGCTGTGGTGCAAAGACAATTACTTTCAGGTAGTGCCAGCATGTTCTGCAGAACTCTTTGTAAAACAGGCCTCCATTTCTTTTCTTCTTCAGTTAACTGGTTTGAGGGGACTCTTCATCCTGCCATATGTATAGGTTGAGAGAGAAGAGACAATGTGGCAGGAATGTGAGCCATGCTCATCTGGATTATTTCTTATGCAATTTATGTGTACCTCCAAGGATGACTTGAGATTGAGCTCCTGCATAACTTTCAAGTGATGATTGAATGCTGCTGTGGACACCCATATTTGTGGGTTGGTAGGTCGGATAATGTCAGGTTGGTGATGGATAGCTCAGGGGTCATGGTAACTTGCTGCCCATGGTCATTAGCTTAGTCTCTATTGAGGCCCAGTGGCAAGTCAGAAGCTATTTCTTAGTGGAGACTATTTATCTGCAGAGGATGGCATAGGTGTGCTACAAAACCCCAGGATTCTGTGCTATGATTCACCTGAAGGGGTCTGTCAAAAGCTCCATAGATCATCCCTATCTGCCCCAGACATCACAAGTGATATTGGATCTGCTGAGTCATATGACCCAAGTGACAGAGCAGTTTGCTCAGCAGGCTGGCCCTTTTTAGAGCTTTTGCATGTTCTGGGTCCCACTCAAAACTAACAGCTTCTTGGATTACTCACTAAATATATTGGAATAGCATGACCAAATGAGGCCACTACATGATTAAATTTTTCTCCAAAATCCATCATTTTTTTACAAGGGCCAAATTGCCTAAATGAATGGAATGTGAGAATTTCTACTCTGCATCTTTCAAATGCTTGATGGTGGCACCAGTCTCTGCAGTCACTTCTCATTTATTGGGTTGGTAGGTAAAGGTAGTTCTGTTGGTCCCACTTAACCTTTTCTACCATAAGAGACCTCACTCTGTGGACCAGGAAACGAACATGATGATTCTTAGGTATCTGAGTATGTGTATTACAATCGTACATTCCAGAACTATCCCAGGGTTCTCATTACCTCTGGAGGAAGAACTAAAATGAGAGCAGTGGTGAAAGGAAACTTGTTCTATGTGTGTCTCTCTTGTGACAATGGGCATGTACCGATGTTTTACCTGCAAATTTTAATTTTCAAAATTTAAAAAGTAACAACAAAATCCACAATTTAATATTACATTAAAAAGGATTTGCTATATCATGACAGAATGGTGCCTCATACAGTGCCTGGAAGAGTTGCCACCCAATAAATATTTGTGGAACCGGGGAAACAAACATATTGATGTTTATACAGAATCCGGAGGGAAAATGCAGTCAACAGACTGTCAAATAAACTACAAAATGTCTTTGTAAATAAATCTAGGTTAAAATGTTATGTTGTTATATGGTCCAGAAAACCCCCAAAGCTAGTAATTTCTTCACTAATGCTTACTTTAATAAACTGAAGTCAGTATCACTAATAGCCTTGTTAGCTCTAGTTTGTTTAGAATTTAGTTAAAAACTTATTTATGGGGTTTTCCTTCTCATTTGGCTGGCAGAGCCATTCCTGACTTCAAGTCTTTTTAATTAGGATCTTCTACATTAAACATGAAAATTTTGATAGATATCAGTTTTATGCTCCTTTCTTTCTAGAGAATAGATTTGCTTAGAATTAGTCATTTTGTTTTTATGTATATGTAGCTTAAAATGATATGCTCCTCTGTATATAATGTTTTAAATCTTTGTTTCTTCCAACATTTATCCTTCATCTCTATATAAAATAGCCACCCACGAATGATTAGATTCTATGTTTACTTAGGGGCATGCTCTAATGCCCATGGTTATTATATTCATTCTTTCTTTTGGTTGGAGTTTCTGTTGTGTTTAAACAAAACATTTTTACAGGAATATTGTTGGTTAGGACACAGATGATAACAGATGTGTGTATTTATTCATGAATGACTTCTTTTATAACTGGCTTATAGGATAGTACAAACTCAAGTTGGAAAATATTTCAAAAGTTAAGATGTTAAAAATAATAATGAATTGATTCCTGAAACAAACTTACTTTTTGGAACAGAGTAAAAGTGTGACAGTAATATTTCAATATATAGATGACTGTGATACATTCTGACTTAGCAGATTTATTTTTTAATACAAATTTATATTTTTAAAACTTCCATGTTTTTCAACAGTGTATATAGAATTATTTGGCCCCAAAATATATGGGAAGAAGGATAAATACATAAACTTATTCTACCTTAAACATCCTAATCTTGTTTTACCGTTAGGGCAATTGCCTTTAGGTCTCATCTAATCACACAGACTATACTTTTTGAATTTCACTTCTCAAATTTCAGTTTTGTCATATGTAAAGTGCTGTTAATCGCATTTATCAATAGAATTGTCATGAAGATCAAATAAAAACCAATGTAAATCACTTAACAAAGTATCTGCCAAGCAGTGGTTAATGTTAGTTTCTTGCTGAAGCTATAAAGGATGCTCAAAAGCTTTTAATTGCTAAGCTTTTCCTTATATTTTCAAGGCAACATATTTTTAATTGTTCCAAAGTTTTCTTGATTTATACAACTATGGGAATTTCATCGACATTCTGTGTTATAGTCCCCAGATAAACTCTGATGTATAAATGCTGGTTCTGGAGTAAACACATTTCATTACTGCTATTATTAGTGACCACCTTCATAAGCTAAGACTAATGTGCCTTTTGTAAGACACAGCTGAGTAAAACCCTGGGGAGTCTCTTACTATTGAACAGTAAGAGCAGCAAACTCACCTGTATTCAGAATTAGATGCTGCAATGTTTTATAAATATTTTTATCATTACAGTATTTAAAGTTTCTCAATAATGAGTCATTAACTAAAAGTGCAGAATCAGTTCATGTCATCCTGTAAAAAACTATGGGTTCAGTAGCAAACAAACAAAAAACAAAAACATTGGATCAATAATAAAGGTATCAGTCTGTTATGGATTTATATCATCAGTCACGTTTAACTTTTACTTCAAAAGGAAATGGACATGTGCAGAATTTTAAGAGAGTATATAAAAAAGAAAGAGAAAACAGAGAACTTTTTAGGCCATCTTGTCCATCCCCAAAGACTCATTCTCCATCATATAATTTCATCTACTTGAATTGTAAATGTAGCCCAAGCAAGATATGATAGTGGCTCCCAATGGGATGGTGGCATGGAATGGAGAGTAGAGGACAAAGTAAAGATATTTCTGGCAGTACAGCCCAAAAAGACCTGCTATTTTGGATGTGAGGCTTATTGAAGAGAGAAACCAGCATAGCCTCAAATATTTCAGCCTGAAAGATTTTAGCATTTAAGAAGGTAAGGATGGCTGAAGGTGGAGCAAAATGAAGGGGAGGACATGCAGCATTAGTATTTTGGTAATCATAGGAATGGAAATACTACATAGAGAATATAACCAACATTACTGTAACATCTTGGTATGGTAATGGGGTAACCACCCTTACCAAAGTGGGGATTTAGTAATGTATATAATTATCAAGTCACTATGTTGTATATCTGAAAACAATATAATATTGTATATCAACTATATTCCAATTTTTAAAAATAGCATTTTGGTCACATCAAGGTATCAGCTCTTGATATCCTATGGAAATGTCCTCTTGACATGTGTGATAGGTCTGGACTAGATTTTTTTTAATTAAGGTATCATTGATATACAATCTGATGTTCAGGTTTCACATGGACAACATTGTGGTTATTACATTCCCTTCTATTATTAAGTCCCCATCACATACCGCATAACAGTCACTGTCCATCAGCATAGTAAGATGTTATTGAGTCACTACTTGTCTTCTCTGTGCTATACTGCCTTCTCCATGACCCCCTACATTATGTGTGTTAATCCTAATACCCCTTAATCCCTTCCTCCCCACCTACCCTCCCCAACCCCTTTCCCTTTGGTAACTGCTAGTCCCTTCTCAGGTTCTGTAAGTCTCCTGTTGTTTTGTTCCTTCAGTTTTTGCTTTGTTGTTATACTCTACAGATGAAATCATTTGGTACTTGTCTTTCTCCGCCTGGCTTATTACACTGAGCATAATACTGTCTAGCTCCATCCGTGTTGTTGCAAATGGTAGGATTTGTTTTCTTCTTATGGCTGAATAATATTCCATTGTGTATATGTACCCACATGGTCTTTATCCATTCATCAACTGATGGACACTTAGGTTGCTTCCATTGGACTAGATATTTTTAATAATTTGATAACATACCATTTTAGCAAGTGTTAATGACAATTGTTACTATCACCACTACTACGTAGTGACGTAAAAGCTCAGCAACCTAGAACTTCCTCAAGCTCTTTAAAAAAACCGCTAATAGAAAAGGCAGGGCTTTCCAAACGGAACCATTCATTCTCCAGCTCTGGGAACCTGGGGCATCCCGCGTCCAATCAGCTACCAAGTCTCTAGCGACAGCAAGAGGGAGGGGCTCAGGTGAAAGGACCCTCGTTCCTTTTGCAGCTCAGGCTGGGCCACGTCTAAGCCCTGCAGGTCATTGAAGGTATATAAATCACAATTTATTCAGTGGCAATAATAGAATTTCTTATTTAAGTTTATGCTTAACAATATTTAATAATACATAGTTTTAAATCATGTCATTTATCCGTTCTCTATAGTTTCTTCTTTTCTTCAATAGGTGTAAAACTCTTCCGAGCGTTGAGGACCTGCCGGTCCCTTCCCCGCGCAGGCGCCGGCGAAAGCGAGGGCGGGCCTATTTCCGGTGGCGCGTGGGGCTAGAGCCCCGGAGCCGTCTGCGGCTACCAACATGGAGACTTTGTACCGAGTTCCGTTCTTAGTGCTCGAATGCCCCAACCTGAAGCTGAAGAAGCCGCCCTGGGTGCACATGCCGTCGGCCATGACGGTGTACGCTCTGGTGGTGGTGTCTTACTTCCTCATCACCGGAGGTAACGGGCTGGTTGGGGCCCGAGAGGAGCTGGGGCACGGAGAGCCGGCTCTCGCCGCGGCGCGCCCGTTCCGCCGGTTCTCAGTCCCGGGGAAAGCATCGCTCTGCTCTCCGACTTTCTGGAGGGTGGAGAAGAGTTCTGCGGTCCAAAGTATTAATGGCCCAAAAGTTTATTTGCCCTCACGCCCTGTCCTGTATCTGGAGAGGACCTGTGTTCTCATTCCCGTTGCCTTTTTCTCTTCTAGCCTTTTAGTCTAGGGATCCGAGTCGAATATGTTTTTCAAGCCCAGATTGTTGCTCTTTTTATTGCTTCCCATAGTTATTTGACAAAGATCCTGGAAAAGTTTAGTCTGGCCCGTTCTACTTAACATGGTTGGTTAAGAGGTGTGGTACTTACACCTCTTCCTATTCTTAAGTTAGCTCAAACCTAAGGGACCAGTGTTGATTTTCTTCCCGATTAGCAATAAATACGAATGGAATTTTCCGAAACCACAGTTCTGATACATATTTGAGATTGAAGATAGATTTGCAGAAGCTTTGTGTTTGAGGGAGAAGTTGAGAACTTTTAAAAGGGTAGGAAAATAGCATTAATATTAAACACTTACGAATTATCATCTTATGCTGTACTTTTCAAATAAAAAATTGCAAAAGGGGCGTTGCTTGGTATAGTGGTGAGTTGGCAGTCCAGCTCTAGGTTTTTCAGAGACACCACCCTTTAAAGCCACAGTTCCATGACTTAGACCTTGCTACACTACTTTCAGATTTTGGGAAGGGGTACTTAATTTGAAAATTATGAAATTAAAGCTTCACAGATTAGGAACAGCAAAAATGGTTCTGCTTTTAAGGAAATAGTCATATAGACATCTTAATTTTCACAGATGTTTTGTAAGAATAGGTGATACTGAAGAGGGAAGAATCTGAAACTATGAAGGCTTAGTTCTAAAATGTGCCTTTGATTTTACCTTCCACCCCAATCTAGAATAGTGACAGTTAACTTAAAATAATTTAAATAAGTTACATCTCAAGTTTATATTGGTAAGATACTATCCTAGCATTGCTCAGCACATTAATAGGTACTGTATTGAATAGATGAAATTTAAAAGTGCATGTGGGTTTTTTTTTTTTTTGTTTAATTTTGTTTTATAATAGTCTTCACCTGCTTTCATCTGCTAGTCTCTTTCCTGCAACTCTTACTTCTTGGAGCCAGAGCCTTTTCTAAAAGCCTCAGCATTCATTGTTGTAGTGGGGAGATAACTCTGCAACAACCCTTGGGGGAAAGTGAAAAGGACATCTTTTAATGGGAAAGGCCATGAGGTATCTCATACATGGAATCAGTTTTGCCACTAGGAAGGAGTCTTTTCTAAAAATTATGAGTGTACCTTTACATATAAAAAATATTGCTGAGAAATAGTCAGCAAATGTTTTGAGTCTCTGTTAAGTTCCAGGCACTAGGTAGTGAATGAAACTTAGTGAGGGCAACAGTGAATGAAACAGGTAAGGACCCTGTCCTCCTGAAGCTTATGTCATGGTTAAGATGTGTTAAATATCACATACATTTTTTCAATTATGAATTGACACGAATGCATTGAAGAAAAAGAACATAGAGGTTATAAAAAAATAATGCGAATTAGGAACATCATTTATATTGGAGTGTGTGAGGAAATGACATGTTAGCCAAAAATTCGAAGGATTGAGGGGAAAGCTATACTAGGCAGAGTGAAAAGTTGACAAGTATGGGACTGGGAGACCAATTAGGTGGGTATTGTAGTATCTTTGGCTAGACTAGGTTGATGGCAACAGAAATGGAGGAAAAAACAATGAATGATATTTGGAAGTAGATTCAGTAGGTCTTGATGGATTGATTGGGTGCAGGAGGAGAATGAAGTGTGACAGAATCTACTGGTGTCTGGTACCAGCATTTTGAGTAAATGGATAGAAGAAGTGAAGGTTTTTGTTGGGAAATGGTGAACCCAAGGTCACTGGGATATAATTGGAACTTAAGCAGCTCCACTTAGTTGGATATGTCACATTTGCAGATACGAGTCTTATGTTGATCAGTAACAAATGTCTTCTGAACTCCTCCCATAAGCTGGATATTGAAGACCATAGACAAAGTCCCCGTTCTTAAACTTACATCTAATTCTAACAGTGGTTACATAATTTGACAGGTGTTGGCACATTGAGAGTCATTAGACATAGAACTGAAAGCCCTGGGAAGGAGTGAGTTCAATTCAGGAGAGAACATAGAAAAAGAAGAGGACAGTGGATCAAGCCCTAAGGAACTCCCAATATTTAGTGGGTTTATAGAAGAGGAGGCTCAGCTAGACAGCAAGAAAACGTGGACAGGAGTATCACAGAAGCCATTTTTTCCCCCCAGGAAAATGGATTTACTAAACTGGACTGCTGGGAATCCTCCTTGATGAGAACTGAAGAGTCCATTGAATTTGACAACACAAAGGTCATTGGTGACCTTAGTGAAAGTAATAGTAGTAGTGGCCAAAGCCAGATGGAAATGAGTTGAATGAAGGGTATGTGAGAAAAGGGAGAAAGCAAGTTTGCCAAATTTTTTTCCAGAGGAATTCTGACTCCTTTTCTAAAAGGAGACATAGAAATAAGATGGTAGGAGGTCTGGAGTCATGGGAAGGTTGATGTAAGGAAGGAGAGCTTAAAAATTCTCTCCTGGAGGGAAGAGAACTATCCAAAGGAACAAAGTCTGAGAAGGCAAGTCCTGAAAATTACACAAGGGATCCCACATTTATAGGAGGAGAGACCCTTCCTCTCTTGGAGCTAGAGGGAAGGAAGAGAGGATGGCTGCAGGTACTGGTTTATAGATTTGGGGGTGGGAGGGAGATTAGAGAACTCCTTTGTGGGAGGGGGAGGGGAACACAGTCTTGCTGTGCTTAAGAAAAGCTGAAAATGTGGATGTTGGAGAACAGTGGAGAAGATAAAGAATTGTTGACAGTGGGAGATTAATGTTGATGGACCATTAACATTAATCACAATGACATGATGGCAAAATGATGGACATTAAATAACATTAATGGTAATTTCTAGTATTGCCAGTCTGCCTATTGGTGTGATTTAATAATGTTTCCTTGTTTTGCATGTAAGCAAGAAAACTTCTCTAGCTACCTCTCAGTTCATACAAACAAACCCAAGCATTTGTGGAACATTGTCTTGAACTAAAATACAGCCTTTAATGTTAAGTCTTTTATTGTGGAATCATTCTTGAGTATTAGAAATGGTTACTGATTGAATATTTCTTTTATGAAATACCTCTTCTGGAAATAATACTGTTTTATGAATCATTCTAAAATGTTGAGTTGGATTTCTGAATGGTTTATCTGAAGTTCAGGAGATTAGCTGGGTCTGATTTGATTATAATAATGCATCAAAGCAGTGCTATTTAAATATAAATGAACCTTTATATATAGAGGTGGATGTAAACTCTAGTCCTATTTTTAAAATTAGGAGTCCAGTCTAATCTATACTTTTGTCTTTCATATAGGAATAATTTATGATGTTATTGTTGAACCTCCAAGTGTTGGCTCTATGACTGATGAACATGGGCATCAGAGACCAGTAGCTTTCTTGGCCTACAGGTAAAAGATACCTTTTTGAATGATTTGATGTTGGGAAAGAAGTTTGCCAGGGCATACCTCTTATTTAAAAATACAGTGAATCCTGTGGGTTTTATAGACAATAGCTTTTTAAAATGCTAAATTTGAAGATGTCAGGAAGTAGACAAGACTAGAAGTATATTATTCATTTATTATTAGAAAAAATATTTCATAATATCACTTATTTAAAGGAGGATATCAGTTTAAAATACACTTATAGACTCTTCTGGGAATCACCAAACCACTGGTACTTGTTTATTCATAAGCAAAGTTTTATTGGAACAAGGCATGTCCATTTACTTATACACTACCTGTTGCTGCTTTCAAGCTGCAGTGGTGTGACACAAACCAAATGGCTTGTAAGCCTAGGATGTATCTCTCTGGCCATTTAAATTTGTGGATCTCTGGACTATACTGTTAAATAAGAAAAGTATTTTTTGAGACTTGTGACTTTTCAACAAGGAAACATCATTCCAGTGTGGTTTGGAGCAATGCTCATCATATTGCTTTCTAAAATCCACTTGATAACTATCTAAACATACCTATATATTTGTATTTATGCTTATGTTAATGGTATCCCATGCATAGAGTATTCCTGGAAAGATTACTGTGATTCTCTGCAGAGGAACTCTAGATGACAGGAGGGACTCTAGATGACAGAAGGTCTTGACAGTAGGGAGACCTTTCATAGTGTCGTCATTTGTGTAGTTTGATTTCTGAACCTGGTGTATGTATTGCATTTTAAATTAAAGCAATTAGTTAATAAAACATATGTACCCTCTTTATATATGCCTATGTATAAATCATCCCTTTAACAGAGAAATGTGCTTTTTAGGGTCCATAAACTGAGAATTCTGAAAGCTCTGTACCTGTAGAAAAATCAGACACACATATATACAAAATATGCATAAACTTAGAAGGGTTTATAGATTGCTAGAGGTCCTAGTGGGGTTCATGAGCCTTAGTTAAGAATGCTTGCTTTAAAATTTTTCCTTTGAAACAAGAGGTTTATTAATTATTATAAAACTTCAAGAAATATTTTTAACCAATTCAAAATTAATTTGAAATTGATAGAAGCTTAAATAGCGTAACTTTTAAAAGATAAAATTTTGGGTAAAGAGAGTACATATATATACAAATAATTGGTTTTTTTAAGCTAGTAAATAAGAATATTGATTTTACATAGACAGTTGTGTTAGTTGAGATTTAAAACTTTTTTGAATGTAAGCTCCATGAAGACAGAGATTTTTGTCCGCTTTATTCATTATTGTAGCCCCAGAAACTAGAACAGTGCTTGATACATAATAGGCTCTTAGTAAATATTTGTTGAAATGAATATCCAAAAATGTAGTAAAATAGTTGTAAGGGTAAGAATGAAAAATTAGCACAAAAATGTTTTAGGAGAAATAGGAATTTCAATCTAAGGAAAAAGCTTTTTATTTTTCTGGGCATTTTCATTTATTGTTTCGCATTGGTCTTTCTTTTTCAGAGTAAATGGGCAATATATTATGGAAGGACTTGCATCCAGCTTCCTGTTTACGATGGGAGGTTTAGGTTTCATAATCCTAGACCGATCCAATGCACCAAACATCCCAAAACTCAATAGATTTCTTCTTCTATTCATTGGATTCGTCTGTGTCCTGTTGAGTTTTTTCATGGCTAGAGTATTCATGAGAATGAAACTGCCGTAAGTTATTAAGTACTTTTTGAAATCAGCAACTTAACTTCTGTTGCAAATGGTAAAATAATTACTTGGATCACTTAAAATCATAGGATATTTAATTTTACCATTTAAACAGGTAGGTGAAAAGTCAAAGAACCAAAGAAACTTGTGACTTGCTCAGAGTTATTGCTATAGTTAGTTGCAAAATGGAGACCACTAGGTCTTCCCAACTGTTCCTATTTCCATGCATATTTATGAGAAAATGTCATCTATTTTGATGTAGCCTCACTGACTGGAGATGCTGTTTCTCTAAAGTGCCTTTTGTTAATCTATAACATACAGGATTCCAGTAGTAATGGTCACAGTAGGGGAATATTTTCAAGCCATTAATTGCTGCTGTTCTTTGAGTATTGGTATGAGAAAAATCTATTAAGGCTTGGACAGGAAAGGAGAATTATTGCCTCCTCAAAAACATGGAAAAAGGATTTCAGATAGATAGATAGATATGATCATTTTGATTGAAAAAGTTTACCTTATCTTTAGAACAAAAATAAATTGGTTTTATGGCAACTTTTATAATTCCATTTGAGGTCTTTCATTTGAAATGTAGACAAGTCTGATCACATTTCTCTATATTCTGACTTCACCTGTGGGGACGTTAGTAATTAGAGGAACTTTGAGCAAGCATATCATACAAAGATTAGCTCTTAGTAAATTCATTTTTTAGGGAATATGTTCAACATCAAGGTCTCCTATACTGATTTCTTAGGACTTATGTTCCTTATTTCATTATAAAAGACAAAAAAGTAACCCAGGAATGTGTTAGAATTTCACAGATACACTTGTTCTATGGCCTAACTTGTCTGTTGTCTGTAACGCATCAGGATAGAATGGACAGACTCCCAGAAAGTCAGAAGTACTTTTCCTGCAGTCATGTTCCCGTCTTAACCCTGCTGGTTGGGAAAAGTGAGCACAGTGTTCTTCCTCAGCTAAATATCTGTGTGACTGTAAAGCTCCCTGCTAATGGGAGCCTCTTATTTTTTCCCAGGGAAAACAATTTTGGGCATTAGTTAAAATGTATTAAGACCTAGGTACTCCAGCCTCCTCTTCTTGTTCTTCTTTTTTCTGCCCTTGTTGGAAATGGTCTGCTGATATGGAAGAGGATGGAGTTTTCCATAATAAAACAAGAAAAGAGGAGGCTCCCAGAGAGGAGAGAGAGTCTATTAAAAATTAACAACCAAAACAGAGCAACTTGTGGATGAATATAGCAGAATGAAATTGAGCTGGTTTTGCCCATGTAACCAGATTTGTTTTCATTCTACCTATGCTTCCTATTCTATGATGTTAGGCCCTCTCCTTAGGATGTGTGCTTTTCTTTTACCTCTGGCATTTGACTTGTAGAATAATAGGGCTGTCTACTCCTTACAAAAACACTTTGGAAAGTATTAATTCTCTGGGTTACCTCCAACTTTTGCAACTATATATGTAAACATTTGTCTTCCTGTCCCTATTCTGTAGGGCAGTATCAAGATTGTTGACCGGATCAACAGTAGGAAATAGGGTACACTCTCTGAAATTGAGATGCAGATTATGTTTAGATGTAATCAAAGCAGAACAATAGTCTAAAGAGAAAATTGCTTCTTTCTGTAATTTGTCATGCAACTAAATCTGGAGTTTCTGTTTTTAGGAGGAAGGAATTTATGACTCCTTTGATATGATTTTTCAACGACAGCTTCTGATGCCTGGTATCTTGAGGGTAGAATGGGGAGAAATGATGGACAGTTTTAGAAAAGAAATGGAAACAACAATATTGCAATTTTTGTTTTGTAGTGTAAACTGAGTAACTTCCACTAGAGTAAATATTAGTAGGTACTTCCTTAAAATCTTGAACTTTTTTTTCTTGTGAAGCTTATATTTTATAGTATGCTTTTTGTCAAATATCAGGTATTATAGTAGCAAATGTATGTGGAAGTCTTCAAAGTCAGTGTATCTCTTAAGAGCCTTTTTATTTTTTTATTCAGTTTTTGGGAGAAGGTTGAGAAGTATTTATGGGGTTGTGTCAGAGTTGTTGTAAAGGTTGTTGTAAGAGGTGGAAGTTCTCTCTGTACTCAGTGTGGATTGGCCCGGCTGGTACAGCAGAAGGAAAAGTGCAGATAAGTTCTAGGGAGATTGCATTGGCTGCACATAGATGTGAGCCTTGTGGGAGTCAAGTGAGTCCAGAAGCTGGAAGGGAGGAAACCACATGCTTGAGTGTCTGCTGTGTTCCAGGCACGGTGGTAGATCTCAACCCAGTGAAGTAGTTTTTTATTCCCGACCTTGAAGACTTGAGACTGAACTAATAGTAGCCACTAACATTTGTCAAGTGCTTATTACCATGAGTAGCAATTACTCTATTATAGATTCTCCTAAGACAGCTCCTTTTACAGATGAGGAAACTGAATGAGGTTTTCCCAGTTTAGTGTTAGTGGCAGGGTCAAAGGAGAGAAGTTCTGAAGGCATCAGTGGGGGCAGGGTGTATTGAACTCTTTCTTACCATGGATAGTTTTACACAACTTTCCTGTTTTTCTCCTCATCCTGCAGATCCTTAATTAATAATAGTTGCAAGGATTTATTGCAAAAGAAGAAGATTGGAACTCTGAAAACCAAACAATACTTTAAAGGGGATTTCAGGGCTTAACTTGTACATTTAGCGAAAGGATCTCCTATTTGATCCACATGAATTTTGACCTTCTTAACAGCCATAGTTAGCACCCCTGCCTGCTGTCTGGACATTCCTTTATAGAGGTGCAGGGCAGATGCTCTGCACAATGTTCCTTGAGGGTACAAGGGCTCACCTCCCCGGCTTGAATAGCTCCTGATCCTCCCACCTTCTCCTTTGGTAATATTAGGTTAATTTAGAAAATCCAAACCAGCTTCTTTCTATAAAAAGGCTTATGAATTTTGTTGCAATTGTGAGAGTCCAAAGGAAATTGAATCTGACTCTTTCACGTCTGCATAATATTTTCTTTACTTTTTTCCCTCATTTTCTGTTAACATACTGGTTTGTAAATTTACCCTTTGAGGAGAAGGATAATAAAACTGAGGCCTGGAAATGTATGTATATATTGGGAGGGTAAGATGTGAAATAAAAACCATAAGGAGTAATTATATTTTCATATTGTCATTTTATTCATCATAAAATTTGTGCACTTTGGAATATTGTTTCCTTTTCACTTTTTGTATTTATAAATTTTATTTCTACAGGGGCTATCTGATGGGTTAGAGTGCCTTTTGAGAAGAAATGAGTAGATACTGGATTTGCTCCTGTTAATGAAGTTTTAAAGGCGCCACCAATGCTCTGATATGGAAAAGGACGAAAAGCTGCAGAAAGGAAGCATATTAAAGCTTGAACTAGAATGTCTTCTTGGTATCAGAGACAAACTTATCACAGTATTTTTTCCTGCTGGCCTGTACCAACAATGCTAAGTGGCATTTCTTCTTAGTTTTTCATCTCTTAAAGAAAATATCCTCCATTTTTACAACTACAATATTGAATAAAGTGATTATTTTTTACAGCCCCCTTCATGTTTTTTGGAGATGACATTTCAGACTTTAAGAAATAAATGTAAAATCAGGAAGTGAGATCCTGTAAGCTGTGAACTCTGGATGGCTGATGAGCACTCCCTGTGGTGCTTTGTCTTTAAACAGTGGGTGACAGTTCATTATTTCAGATTTGTAAGACTGTTTGCTGAACAATAAGAGGTATGAAAGGAGCAGAAGTAAATAACTTTTCTAATTAACACTTTCTGTGGTTTTTAATTGACTAGTGGCATTAACCTTTTGGTCTATAATTACTCAGTCCCATCTGTGACATAAGCTACTGTTGGCATTCTGTGGTCCCAAAATGTAATTGGTAGGATGCCTTATAAAGTAGCAACTCAATATCCCTGTAAATATTCAAGCATGGGCTGCATATCTATGTTGGAGTTGTTGTAAATGTGATTGTGATAGATAAAAAGTTCCCTTTAGGCATTCATTTTCAGTAATTAACACAATTCTGAACATACCTAAAAATACCTCTAGACCAGTATGGGCTTCCCTTAATTTCTTCTAACAACCCTTTCAGTTCTCCCTGACTAGCTGTGAACTTCACTTCTCTAATAGCTCAGTTTTTAAGGTATCATTGATAAACAATCTTATGAAGGTCTCACATAAGCAACACTGGTTTCATTCGCCCATATCATTAAGTCCCACCCCCACCCCATTGCAGTCACTAATTGAGCCACCCCAATTAGTGGCTCAATTCTTAATCTGATGATCTTTAAGGTTATGGCAAAATGTCCTCTCATGTGAATTTTTTTTTGTTTCCAAGGTTGATCTCCATGTAGCCATTAAATTTAAAATAATTTATAAAAAACTTGAGAACCTATTACATGTTAGGCAGCAACTGAAGATTAGGGTGAGAAAGGCTCTGCCCTCATAGAGCTTGTGTTCTTGTAGGGAGTCCAGACAAAAGATAAAAAATGTTTATATGATGTCAGACATTGATAAATGCTACAAATGAAAATCAAGAAAAATTAATGGTCTGTACTATAGTGATGAGAGACGATAAGAAGAGGTTGCTAAACTCCAGAGGTCTGAAAAGGAAAACATGACCTGTATACACTCAACAAACCCTAAAGTCTTAACTTAACCTTGGTTACATTTTTCATTATTTGGCGGTGTTTTAAAATTTTAGTTAAACTGGATAGAAGACAACAAAGGTCTTCAGGCTTCAAAAGCTCTTTGCCTAACCAGCTGAGTAGTGAACAGTTCCCATTAAGCACCACCAGATGGGGCTATTAAGGTTTGATATGTTTTTCGGTAACAGCTGTTAGGGTTTTTTGGGTTGGTTTTGAACTTTTAGATAAGCATAGCTTTACTAAATACAATGAAATACGTTTAAGAAATTTTGCTGGTAAAGTAGCAATGTTTTTTGTGAAAAAAAAATTGTACCTGGTACTAGACCTAAAATACTCTGGGGACACTGAAATGTCACGGCCTGAAAGCCTGCCAAGCGGCACCAGCAGAGGTTAAGTAAATGAGAGAATAAATAATAGACTGGAAACAAACTAGCCTTTGATATTACCACAGGATTCTGCAGGAAGTGGATGGTAAAATGGAATTAGAAGTGTAGAATGATTTAATGGAGACTTAACTCCAGTCAGAGGTAAAGGAAGCATACAAAATCAGCCCAGGGAAGCTGTCATTCTGTGATGAAGAGCCTACAAAGTTGCTGTTGGCCTAATGAGCTGCAGAGCAAGGACTGCCTGTCAGGCGGGGGAGGTGGGGGTGGGGGTGGGAGGGGGGAATGGCTAGACCCCTGTACCTCTGTCTTGTCAGGTCTTTGATTTGACCTGGGGCCACCTCGAGATTAATGTGATCTTGCTTAGAAAGCTAAGGTGAACCCTAACATAGCTAATGTGGGTAAAATTGCAGTATTTCCAGAATATCTCTCCTGACCTTAGCCATCTCCATATCAATAGGTGATTACACAGGGGTGGGAAGCGAGGGCACACCTGGACTGGAGAGGTTTGTTCAGGTCCCTTTTTGCAATCAGATTGTGAGAGACATGAGTGAGCAGAAGTGGACAACTGCTTGTAAACAATAAATGATTTCTCCCACTTTATTTATCCCTTTTCCTGGTTTCAGCTTCAAAGGTAATTGCCCCAGGCTGTGAACATATTTTACCCCCAAGTTACAGCTAACAACTGGAGGCCATCAGCTAGTCCCACTCTGCAGCTAAGCAGAGCTGAGTCCTTCAGGGGGATCTGAGCATCATATCTAACACAGATTTATTTTTAAAAAAAAAAGCCTTCATAGGAAAAAAATTAGATGAAAGCCCATACACATCTTGCTTATTTATAAGAAAGATTGTACTACACGATTGTCTTTAATGTTTATTTTAATTGGGAAATTGAGGTAACAGGTTCTCAGTAAATAGTACATTCGTGAACTGTTAAGCTGGAATAAAGGGTATTTTCCCATTTTTTCAGTAAGTAAACAGACTCATTTTTGCTACAGAGCTTGAACTAGAACCCAGGTCTTCTGCATAGCAGACTAAGTGTGTTCATTTTGTGCTGCTACTTTCTGGTACAGAAGATCAGTTGTTGAAAAGAGAATTAAGCATACACTTATTTATAAAAGACATCATGCCAGATGCTGGGTTACATCAGTGAGCAAGAAAAATACAACTCTTGTTCATGTGGAATTTATAATCTAGTGAATATACACAAATGGCCGATTTTCTTGCTATAGGAGCATCTGAGAGGAGTGCCAAAACCCAGATTTGGAATGAGGGATGGTTTCAAATTTTTGTTGGGATGATGGGATACTAATCTGCTCAAAGTTTCAAGTACAAATATACTTTTTCTAAAATTTATTTTCTTTTTCCTTGTTTTACTTATGTACGAAGACTTTAAGTTACAAGTGAGAGAAAAATCATTGAAGCTATATCTTCAGCAAAGAATAATTTGTTGGAATATTAGAGTGTCATGATACACAAGACAGATTCTGCTCTGCTCAGCATTAGGAGTATCAGACCAGAGAATATGGTACTATAAGGACTCCATTGTTTATTTTTGACATAGTCTATGAGTGTGCTTCATGTTTTCTCTTCATAAAATTGGTTACTGCTATTACTCTAGTTCAGAGTAGTGGGAATCATGGTGCCAACCTATTTTGATCATTACATTTGACAGCTTCAGCCACTCTAGAGGAAATTCCTTGATTCAATAATTCTTAAGGGCCCTCCTTGAATAAAAACTTCTCTCTTCCCTCATCATTAGCCATCCTTCCCTACCCCATCCCCAGCCCTAATGCACCCAGTTGTCTAACTACCTCTTTACAAGATTACCCAAAGTCCAGTTGTTATCAGGTTTATGAGATTTAGTTAACATAATTTGTTATAAAGTATGCGAGACAATTCAAGTCCTAACCTCATTATCCATGATGAGGTGTCCTCTCACTTCTGTTGAATCTGCCAGTGATGGGGATCTTTTTACCTTTCAAGGCAGTCCATTTTCAGATATTTTTGTCTTTTAGAAAGCTATTTTCCATTTTGCTTTAGTTCATTGGTTTTAGGTCCACCCCTTGTGTCTGTATCTAGGCATATTTAACCATACTACATAATGACAGCCAGCATTTGAAATATTAAAACCCTTTGATGAGGCTCCATTTTTTAAGGCTTACCATTTCTAGCTTTTCAAGCTCAGAAATGGGGTATGGCTCCTTTCTGATCCTTCTCCCACTGCCTCTAGGATGTCTGTTTTCCTTTAAAAATAAGTTCTCCAACAGATTATGGACTGCTTTTGATATAGTCATTTTGGTGGCTACACACTTCTCATAAACTATTTTTTTATAAGCTATACTAATAATATCAGGGTTTCAGCAATTGTTACTATTGATATAGATGGACAATACCATGAGTTACTAGGTGCTCAGACTCGGGATCAATCAGATTTGGATTCCTATTCCAGGTCTGCCAATTGCCAGCTGTGTCACCATGGACCGCTTTCTTAGATTCTCTGAGCCTCATTTTCTTCTTAGTAAAGTGGAGATAATATGTACCTCATCGGGATGTTCTGAGAATTAGATGAGATAACCCATAAATTCTGGAACATATTAGGTACTCCAGAAATGTTTTGTACTTGCCTTTAGTTATTTTTTCCCTTTACACTCTGTAGTTTTATTTAATGCATGATTATACATTCTCTCCTGGGGATGGGAGTTGTGGAAACATGCACACACAGGCATGTGTGATAAATATAGTTGAAGCATGGAATATCTGCTTTTATTTTTATGTCTATTTAAAACAATGTTTTCATGATTTATGTTGTAGCCATTGCAATGTGGAAACAGTTTCTACTCAGCATGTAGCATGACACCAGCACTCCACTGAAGGCCAAGGACCTGCCTTTGGTTAATGGATGGCATCTCCTCTCCATAAAGTCCACCTCTTCTGATGGCTCCTGTCAAGGATGAATCTTCACACATGCCTTTACATGCTTATGTTGGCAATTCCTCGTCCTCAGAAAAGGAGTTTTCTCTTGAGAGCAGAGTGTAGGCGCCAATCTAAACAGAGCATTCAAGTCTTGACTAGGTTAATAGGTTGGAAGAGTTGTAATTCAGAGTCCCAGAACTGCCATGCTACTTTAAACAAGATGGCAGGAAATTATTTAACAATTTTAAGCCCACATAGCAAAAGTACTGTATGCTTTCACATGACACTGGATATTTGCCTAACATATTTCAACTTTTAAGAGTGCCCTCATCATCAATTATCTCATTTAATCCTAACGAGAATGCCCAACCATCTTCCAGGCCTCTTTGTTTCATATAAAGAAAGAGCAGGCTGAGTGGACAAAGGCAGGCACCCTGCTAGGGACCCTTACAAACAATTCAGTCTAGTAGGTAGTATTGTCTCTATTTCTTGGGGATCAGCTGGGATTGAGCTGAAGCGAGCCTAGCTATAAATCCCTGTACTTTCTACTAGGACATCATACACTTTTTGTCCTATTTTCTCCTTTACTGTTTAAAACTCAGTCTTCCCCATGCTGTTAGAGGTCAGGATACTGGTTACTTTGAGAAGTGGCGGAAGTGACCAGAAAGGGACATGAGAGCTTTGGGGTTTGCTGGTAATGTTTCTTGATCTGGGCACTACTTAGACGGGTGTGTACACTTGAGGAAAATGCATTGAACTGTACACTTAGGATTTGTGTGCTTTATGAATTTTATATTGCAATAAAAAGTTTTTCTTAAA